TTTTTATGTTGTTTTAAGTTGTAACCCTGAAATATGTAATTATAAGCACTGAAGATGGTCAAATCAAGACCCAAAATGCATGTTCTCTGAATAAAAACATTTTTCTTCAATAAAACTGTTTTTAATTACTGGATGGATGCCCAAGAAACAATTTTATCATATATACATATATATATATATATATATATTATATATATATATATACGAGGTCTGTTCAAAAAGTACCCGGAATACTAATAATTAAATTTCGCGGGTCTGGAGTGTCTGTCTGATTGTCAAAATTTTTTTTTTATTGTGTTGGTATACATGCCCCTAAAGTATGATGAAATTTTCAGCTATATTCACTGTTTACTTTGTCTGTGGTAGTCGCTAAGGTTCGACGTGTTTTTCTGAGCTCGGCGATTTTTACAATGGAAGAATTGAAAAGTCAAAGAATTTGTATTAAATTTTGCGTAAAAAATGAAATAAAGTGTTGCAAAGTGCAAAAATTCACCAGATATGGCTCCGTGTGACTTTTTTCCTATTCCCAAAGTTGAAGAGACCCATGAAAAGACGGCGGTTTTCTCGATTGAAGAAAATCGCTGAGAGTGCTCAAGGACATATCAAAAAGTGAATATCAAGGGTGCTTCGAAAATTGGAAAAAACGCTGGCATAAGTGTATTATATCTGGGGGGGACTACTTTGAAGGGGACCACATTAATGTAGACGAATAAATAAATATTTTTTTGAAAAAACGAAAATTCCGAAAACTTTTTGAACAGACCATGTATATATATATATATATATATATATATGTATATTTTGTCAAAAGTGTCAAATATTGTATTTAAGTAAAATGCATACACAATCCGCAAGTCAAAATTCACGTACTATCATCCATATAGTACAACAAAGTCTAATATGAGTTAATTTTAATGCAAATTCTTTATATTATTAAATCTAGAAAGTTTTATGTATGTATTTATGTAACACCATAATAAAAATATAAACTTTTGTACTTTTCTATATACAAATCCGCAAGATACATACATACATTATATATTATATATATATATAAAAATTACATAAGCATTATGTATTAAAATTTCTTGCATTTTAATACATAACATTATGTTATAATACCTGCATCAACATGCCTCTGTATATCCTCAATACATTCCTCAAAATCTAGTTGCTCCCCATCCTCAACTTCATCCTTAACATCCTCTACAAGGTTTACAACCTCAGCATCATCCATTTCTTCAGCCTCGGCTTCTTCAATTTCTTCAACCACAACATCATCTATTTCTTCAGCTTCAATTTCTTCAACCACAACATCATCTATTTCTTCATCTTGAACTTCCTCCTCCTCAGCCTCAGCATTAATTTTAAAGCGCTTCGAATACCGCCTTGGGGAACACCTAGTTCTCTTAACCTTAAGCACCTTTCTAACTCTCTTAGGCTGAGGCTGCGGTTCTGGTGGAATATCTTCCAGTGTCTCTTCTGGTTCCTCTTCTGCTGGTTGTTCCTGGTCTTCTTGTACGTCGTTCTCAAAGCCATCATGTGGAATGTTGGATAATTTAAGAACGTGCAGAATGACTTCGTCAACTGTACGATTGTTCAACAGTGTGGTTATGGTTGCGTCATCGATGACGGATGTGAATAATAGTTTGGCGTTTTCTCGTATTCTCTGCACCAGCTCTGGGTAGTCTTCGACTCGGGCTGGTTCGTGGCCGCATCGGGCAATTACGCTTTCAAGAATCTAGACATAGAAAATTTTAATTAAAAAAATTTGTTAGAGCAATAGATATTTTAAATATATTTAATGCTGAGGCTGAGGAGGAGGATGATGATGATGCAGCTAAAGAAATAGATGATGATGTGGTTGAATAAATTGAAGCTGAAGAACTAGATGATGTTGTGGTTGAAGAAATTGAAGAAGCTGAGGCAGAGAGAAATGGATGATGCTGAGGTTGTACACCTTGTAGAAGATGTTAAGGATTGAAGTTGAGGATGGGGAGCAACTAGATTTTGCTAGATTTTTGGTATGGTGAAAATATATTACAAACTTTCCGAAAGAGAATTTAATGTTTTTGTCAGAAAATCCGACTTGCTAATTTTTTGTTTACTTGTGAGATGATTCAATCTTTTAAATAGATAAACGTGTTTTTTAGAAATAAGAAAACAAGATAAAATTGTGAGATAATCTCTTGATCAAAAATTTGGGTTCAATATTTGACTACATAAATGTGTTTTCTCAGAAAGAGAAGAATGATGAAAAAGATGAAATTAAGATGAAATTATCTAAATTTCATATAAAACGTCTTATGCAGAACTTATTAGATTTTTAATAATTATTTCTAAATTTCACACAAAAAAAATGTGGGTTCAATCTTTTAAATAAATAAATGTGTTTTCAGAAAAATAAGATGATGAAAAAGATGAAATTAAGATAAATTATCTAAAATTTTATATAAAACGTCATATGCAGAATTTATTAAATTTCTAAAAATTATTTCTAATAATTTTTAATTGCCCTGCTGGTTCAGGTATATTTTTTTTAGTTTTTATTGTATATCTTTTAAATAAATAAATTTAGACAAATGTTGTATCAAAAAGATAAGTAGTTAATATTATCTAAAAAACAGTATTAAAATTTATAAAAGTTCCAGTTTAAATAATATATAAAACAATAAACAACAGACTTGATCTAAACAAAACAAAATTATTAGTAATAGTTTTTTATATAATAGAGATTATCTTAATCTTATCTTTACTAAATAATATATATTTATCTTTTTATGAACTTATAAGTACTTACAAACTTTCTAAAAGAGAATTTTAAGTTTAAGTTTTTGACAGAAAATCCGACTTGCTAATTTTATGCTTACTTGTGAGATGGTTCAATCTTTTAAATAGATAAATATAGATAAATGTAGATAAATGAGTTTTTAGAAATAAGAAAACAAGATAAAATTTGTGAGATCATCTTTTGATATAAAAAAATGTGGGTTCAATCTTTTAAATAAATGTGTTTTCTCAGAAAAATAAGAATGATAAAAAAGATAAAATTAAGATAAAATTATCTAAAATTCATATAAAACGTCATATGCAGAATTTATTAGATTTCTAACAATCTATTTCTAATAATTATTAATGGCCCTGCTGGTTCAATTACAATTTTTTAGTTCATGTGTATCTTTTAAATAAATAAATTTAGACGAGTGTGGTATCAAAAAGATAATAAGTAGTTAATATTATCTAAAATAAAGTATTAAAATTGTATAAAAGTTCTATCTTAAATAATATGACACTAAACAACAGACTTGATCTAAACAAAACAAAATTATTAGTAATAGTTTTAATATTATATAAGATTATCTCAATCTTATCTTTACTAAATAATATATATTGATCTTTTTAAGAACTTATAAGTACTTACAAACTTTCCAAAAGAGAATTTAACGTTTTTGCCAGAAAATCCGAATTGCTAATTTTATGCTTACTTGTGACATGGTTCAATCTTTTAAATAGATAAATGTAGATAAATGTGTTATTAGAAATTAGAAATATGAAAACAAGATAAAATTTGTGAGATCATCTTTTGATCAAAAAATGTGGGTTCAATCTTTTAAATAAATAAATGGGTTTTCTCAGAAAAATAAGAATGATAAAAAAGATGAAATTAAGATAAAATTATCTAAAATTTCATATAAAACGTCTTATGCAGAACTTATTAGATTTTTAATAATTATTTATAATAATTATTAATGGCCCTGCTGGTGGTTCAGGTACAATTTTTTAGTTTTTATTGTGTATCTTTTAAATAAATAAATTTAGCAAAATGTGGTATCAAAAAGATAATAAGTAGTTAATATTATCTAAAAAACAATATTAAAATTTTATAAAAGTTCTAGTTTAAATAATATATGACATTAAACAACAGACTTGATCTAAACAATACAAATATTAGTGATAGTTTTAATATAATATAAGATTATCTAGATCTTATCTTCTTTACTAAATAATCTATATTTATCTTTTAATAAGAACTTATATGTAAAAAGTCTAAATGTGTACAATCATAAATATTTTAATTAGTTTCTCGAAGGAGAAGCTTGTGTTATGCACAAAATCAAATTTGCTAGTATTTTGACTACTCGACGTTTAAGTCATTCTGAATAGTTTGACACAGAAATCATGAAAAGTATGTGTATACGAGTCAAAATTTTGCATTTTATTAAGGTTTTCTTAAAATCGGTTGCAACGGTGATGATTTTAATCAAAATTTTTCAATCATAGTTATGGAGTTCATGATTTAAATGAACATTCTAAAATATTATAGGCCTAAGAGAAGTTATTTATTTTTAAAAATTAATATGAAGTTTGGACAATAACAAATGTGTTTACATGTGTGGTTTGAAATATCTCAATTGCAAAATTATTTAGTGTTTGTAAGTAGATAAATAAGTAAAATAAATAACTAAATACATAAATAGATAATATAGAAATAAATAAATGTAGAGATAAATAAATATAAAAATAAATAAAAAAATATAAATATATAAATAAATAAATAAATATGTAAATAAATATATAAATAAATATATAAATAAATAATTAATTATGTAAATGAATAAATAAAACTTTCATTTAAAAGTTCTCAATTTAGTGTTTGTAAGTAGATAGGTAAATAAATAAATAAGTAAATATATAATAATATATTAAATGTTATGTTTATATACTCAATCTATCTATGAACTCTTAATACTCAAATTTTCTCATATTATCTTTAGTTTATAATTTGTACACTTTAAAATACAATTATATTGTATTATTGCTTTGGGCGTTGAATAAAAAATAAATAAATAAATATAATATATAAATAGTGAACAAATAAACCTTACATTTAAAATATTCCAATTGCAAATTTATTTAGTGTTTGTAAATAAATAAATAAATAAAACTTACATTTGCCACATCAGCATCAGGCCACCCGAATTCTGTTAAAGTCTCTTCATCAATAAGCAGATTTAATAACAGCCTAATATTTTTACACAAAGCCTCCTCCGTTAGAAAACCACACTAAAAATAAACAAAATATTAATTACACATTAACTTAAAATATCTATTATTACTTATAATAAACATTTACTTTAATTTCTACAGGTATTTCAGCCTGATCAGGATTATCAACAAACTCCTCATCATTTACATCTTCTTTAATTTCATTGGCAACAGCCACTTCTTCTTCCTGCATACTTTTCAGCAAAACCAATTTTCAACTTTTTCTTTTCAGCCTTCGATATGATTTCTTCAAGCTGGTCCCTGTGTTTAGACCTCATGTGACGGTACAAACAGTCTCTGGAATAAAAAATATAATAATCAGAGAAATATTGCTTGATTGAATAAATGGTTAATATTCTTACCTTCTTATAAATGCTCTTCCACAAGTATGACATGATCTGGGCTCTTCCTTAACGTGATTCTCAAGTGCATTGATAATGATGCTTTCGTTGCAAATCTTTTGTGGCAGATTTCACATTCGAAATCTAAAATAGATAAATAGATAATAAAGTACATTGAATAAAATAAGTAATACAGTATATGATAAATATAATGAAGTATAAAGTTAGGGAATAAAGTAACCGATATATAATAAAGTAAAATATATAATTAATAAAGTAACAATATATAAATAAATAAAAATAACATAAATAAATAATAAAGTTAGTATGCAATGAATAAATGTAAATGTAATAAATAATAAGCATGTAATAAATATAAATATAATATGTAATTAGGTAGGAGTAAATGAGATAAATAAAAATGTAAATATTGATGATAAATAATAATAAATGTAAGTAAAATGCCCTTAGATAAATAATAAAATGTAAATGTAAATGTAGTGTAAATGTAATATAAAAATTAAAATATAAAATGAATAAATAAATAAATGTAAGTTGATAAAGAATAACAATGTAACGTGATAAAAATTTAAATAATAAATATAAAGGTAATAAATAAATTATGAAGTAAATGTAATGAATAAAAATGGAAATGTAAATGTGATAAAATTTAAAATAAAAATGTAAATGTGGACGTTTTTTAAACAAAAATATACAATATAATGTAATAAATAATGAAGAATAAATGCACATGCATGCATAGTAATATAAATGTAATATATATGAAGGAGAAAGTTATATAATTTATAAAATAAATGTAAGGTATGTATGTAAAAAAGTAATTATATACATAAATAATAAAGCACTACATAAATAAATAAAGTACATAAATATAAATGCAGTAAATATAAATAAATAATATATAAATAAATAATAAAGAAATAAATAAATAATAAAATATAGTTAGGGAATAAAGTAACCGATATAATATAAATAAAATATATAAGCTGATAAAGTAAATCATATATAACTAAATAAAAAAACAAATAATTAGTATGTAAATGAATAAATTGAATGTAATAAATAATAAGCATGTAATAAATATAAATATAATATGTAATTAGGTAGGAGTAAATCATATATAACTAAAAAAAAAAAAACAAATTATGAAGTTAGTATGTAAATGAATAAATGTAATAAATAATAAGCATGTAATAAATATAAATATAATATATAATAGGTAGGGGAAAATGAGATAAATAAAAATGTAAATATTGATAAATAATGATAACGCAAGTATAAATGTCTTAGATAAATAATAAAAGTGTAAATGAAAATGTAAGTGTAAATTTAATATAAAATTAAAAAATATAAAATGAATAAATAAATAAATATAAATTGATAAAGAAATAACAATGTAAATGTGAAAAATTTAAATAATAAATGTAAAGGTAATAAATAATTAAAGTAAATGTAATTAATAAAAATGGAAATGTAAATGTGGATGCTTTTTAAATAAAGAAATGTAATGTAAAAATACAATGTAAATGTTATAAAAATTCAAATTAAATAATAAATGTAAATGTGGACGTTTTTTTTAAATAAAAATATAGAATATAAATGTAATAAATGAATAATAAATGCACATGCATGAATAAATAAATGTAATAATATACAAGAAGGTGAAATTATTATAAATGTAATAAGTAAATGTAAAGTATGTATATAAAAAGTAATTATATATAGAAATAATAAAGCACTACATAAATAAAGTATATGCTTAAATATAAAATGCAGTACTATATATAAACAAATAAATAATATATAAATAAAAATATGAAGTATAAATAAATAATAAAAAGAAGTATATATAATAAAATATTTAATTTAAAAGTAATAAGTTGTAAGAATCATTGTTATGGAATCGTTTTTATAAAAATTTACTCCACAAACAAAAATCTTTCAAGTTTTTCGCATTCAAAATCTAAAATAGATAAATAAATAGATAATAAAGTAAATTGAATAAAATAATAAAGTATATAAATAAATATTATGAAGTATATAGTTAAGTAATGAAGTATGGTTACTTCATATATAATAAAGTAAAATATATAAATTAATAAAATAAATAATGTATAAATAAATAAATAATACATAATAAATAATAAAGTTAGTATGTAAATGATAAATGTAAATGTAATAAATAATAAGCATGTAATAAATATAAACATAATATGTTTAGGTAGGAGTAAATGAAAAAAATGTAAATATTGATAATAAATGTAAGTATAAATATCTTAGATAATAATAAAATGTAAATGAAAAGGAAATGTAAGTGTAAATGTAATATAAAAATTAAAAAATCTAAAATGAATAAATAAATAAATGTAAATGGATAAAGAAATAACATGTAAATGTGATAAAAACTTAAATAATAAATATAAAGGTAATAAATAAATTATAAAGTAAATGTAATGAATAAAATGGAAATGTAAATGTGGATGCTTTTTTAATAAAGAAATGTAAATGTAAAAGACAATGTAAATAGGAATTTAAATGAATAAATGTAAATGTAGACACAATGTAGACAATAAAATATAGAATATAAATGTAATAAAAAATGAATAACAAATGCACATGCATGAATAAATAAATGTAATATATATATGAAAATGAAAGTAATATGAATGTAATAAATAAATGTAAAGTATGTATAAAAAAAAGTATATACATAATAATAAAGCCTACACAAATAAATAAAGTACTAATTAAAATAAAATGCAGTAAATATATAAACAAATAATAATATATAAATAATAATGAAGTATAAATAAATAATAAAAAGAAGTATATATAATAAAATATTTAAATAGTAATAAGTTGTAAGAATCATTTTTATAAAATTTACTTCACAAAACAAAAATCTTTCAAGTTTATTATGTTTTTGTGTATATAAAATTATCTGTACAATTTATTAAATAACAACTCACAACCCTTTAATGCCAGTGTGCACAATTTTATGCTTAGCTAAATCCTCTTTCCTCATGAAGGTCTTATCACACTCATCGCACTCCAAAGGCTTTTCACCTTCATGGATAAACCTTTCATGAAGACGAAGCCTGAAATCACAAGCATAAAATATATACTTATACATAATATTGCACAAATTTTATTATCCTTACCTGCTCTTTCTATTAAACGCTTTCCCACAGACCTGGCAAACTACCCGTGTTCGCCTGTATGATGGAAAAGATGAGCCCTTAATTGAGTCGATTGAATAAATGTCTTTCCACAATAGTCACACTTGAAAGGCTTATCCATAGTATGTGTTTTTAAATGCCTGTTGAGAGTCTCTTTAGCCCCAAACCGATTGTGACACTAGATAAAAAAAAAAAAATGGTTTAATAAAAAATATATAAATCATGTACAGTGCAAAGAATATTTATTCAGAATACAATTTAAATCTTGTTGATGCATTTATATATATTTACCTAACGAGCAATCCAAAAACAATTGTCCAAACTATCAGCATGTAATAATAAATCATACAAATTTTTATATTAATAATTGGCAAAGAGGAAATATAGAAAAGTACAATTGTAAAAAAAATGGTAAACAAAAAAAAATCAACTTGCACATTTTTACAGATTTGATTTAAATGATATTTTTTGCAACCTTAAAATTGATCTTTATCAGATTTTAAAAAATCTGTTTTGAATGAATATTTTTGCAATATTTAAGTTTTACTATCAAATTTAAAAAATTTATATCAATGAATATTTTTTAATAAATTTTCTATCACACCTTACAAACTTAAGTTTTTAATGAACATCTTTGTAAAGTTTTAGCACATTTTCCGCTTCGTTTTTAATAAATATTTTCAAAATGTTTAATATTTCCTGTCACATTTTAAATTTATGTTATAAATGAATATTTTTTATCGCACTTTTAAAAATATTAAAGTTTTAAATAAATATTTTTGCAAAAATTAATAAATTTAATTTAAAGAAATTTGCAGTTTTTATCTATTACATGTTTAATTTTAATTTATCAAATGTTTAGCTAACTAATTACTATCATTACACTACTTCTCATAGGCCTATAATATTTTAAGGGTTTCAGGACAACTATCAATTATACTACCATGCAAACTTTGTATAAAATTTGGTAGAAAAACAATTAAACATTAACAATCCTATTAAGAACACTTTTGTTAAATTGTGATAGAAAATAATAAAAAATTGCAATAATATTCATAGCCTAAATGGTCACCAGGTTCAGCCTTAAAATAAATTTGAAAAAAAAAATGAAATGACTTTGTAGAAGAATTAATAAAAATACAAAAATGTTCATTAAAAATTTATAAATTTGTACATGCCACATGTCCATCTTAAAAAAAATCATTGAAAACTTTCAAAGTTGTAAAAATGTGGTAGGAAAAAACTAAAATTGTATAAATATTCATTAAAAGTTTATAAACTTGTAAAATGTGATAGAATTTTTTTTTAATTAAAATTATTCATAGAATTCATTAAATTTGTAAAAATAACCACAGAACTATTAGCACACCTACAGAGAACATGTTGTAGATAAGTTATTATAATTCAAACATTTCTCATAAGCCTATAATATTTTGAAGAATTTATTACAACATTATCAAAGAATGTTTTATCAAATTCCCAGGAAAGTAACCAGTAGATTCTCCTTGAAAACCAAAACAAAAAAAATATACTTACCATTTCACATTCGTAAGGGCGCTCTCCTGTGTGTGGTCCTCATGTGTTTCTTCAAAGCATTCGACGAGGAGAACTCTTTATCACAATCTTCAACTGTGCAAGGGAATGGACGCTCACCTTAAAAGTAAAAAGCTAATTAAATTAATTTATAAGATACAAAATATAAATATATTATCTTTCTTTCTATAATGTATTATTTTTTTATTATTACCAGTGTGTGTCCGGACATGTACATTGTAGACAGTCGTGCCAAAGAATATCCTGTTGCAGTACTCGCATTTGTGTTGCTTTTTTGGCTTTGCTTCACCCATATGTGCCCTTAGGTGCTCTCGTAAGTTGTCTTTTCTTGAGAACTCACGACCACAAACCTAGACAATAATAATTTCATAATAAAAGTATGGTTGCAATTGCAGCTAAGAAAGCTTTTCTTTGATTTTGTTATAAAGTAAATTTTAGTTTCAAGTGTTGACAAATTTTAAAAACTAACATGTCTCTTGACTATTTTACAAGATGCTTTTATCTAGTTTATTTAATATGATATTAAATAATATATATTATTAAAAGGTTCCTAAAGTTCACAATAAATGTGTATATATGTAAATTGTATAAACAATGTCAATTTGTTAAAGATAATTTAATTTATTAAAGAATTATATTAATTAATTTGAAACATCACAAATGTGCTAAAATCAATATAAATTAATAGAATAATTATTGAAAATATCAATGCTTTAAAAGAAGGTGTTAAAATTTAAAGTATACAAATTTTATACAAAAAATTAATTTATGAAAATATTGAAACAAAGTAAAAAGTATGAATATTAATATACAATAAAATGATAAAATTTAATAGGTAACATAATAAATAATTCTATTATAAACAATATAAAAATATTAATATAAAATTAACAGATTTAATTAAAAATATCAAGTCAAGTATAATATTAAAAGAAATGTTTAAAATTAACATTAAATTAAAATGAGAAATGTGATAAAATGAGATGCAAGAAATAAATTGTCATATTAATGAGTAACAACAATTAAAAATATCGATTATTTAAATATTGAAAATATATAAATGTTAAAATTTAATAATAAGAATTAAATATTTAACAGAATAAAAAATGACAAAACATGCAAAAAAATTATTCAAATTTAATGAACATGATAATTTGTTTAAAAATTAATAAATTCAGTTCAAATGCATAAAAAATATTAAAACAAAGCAAATATACAAAAATAATAATAAATTAAACAGTATTAAATTATTAATAGCATACAAAAAATGAAAACCAAAAAACATTAAGTCTAATGAAATTAAACAAGTAAAAAACAAATAAAAAAAAAAAAATAAATGATTTACAATATTATAAATATTAGTAATATATCCTGAAATAAATTAATTTCATTACAATTAAACGAAAAGAATGAAAAGTAACAAAATAAAAGTATTATTAGAAATATATGAATAAATGTTAAAATTCAACAAAAACTTTGAATAAAATTTAGTAGAATAAAATAAAAAAAAGTATCCAATATATGAGAATGTACAAAAAATTTAAATTCATTAAGGTTTTAATAAAATCATTGCATAAGTTAGAAAATAAAAAGATGGAGAAGAGTGTCAATTTGTTGACATTTCATAAAATTCAATAAATCTTAATATATAATCGATAATAAATATTAAATTGAAATTTAATAACCAGCACTATTAAAATTAACAAAGTGGTAGGTTTATGAAAGTAAATCATTCAAAAGTATTAAAATGTCTATGATATAAAAAAGGTTAAAATTAAGAAAAAAAAACATTGAAACAACCAAATTAAATCTAAATAGTTTTAAAACAATTAAAAATGTAGCATAAAGAATAACTAAAACTAAATATACAAAGAATTATTGAAATTTTATAAAGATATTAAAAACTTTATCATAATCTAAAATCCAATAGTTTAAATTTGCAT